AACAGCGACCCCTATTGCTGAAAGCAGGTAACCAGCAGGAAACGCTTCAGCTCAGCCTTTGCACTGGTGACTGAACACCCCCTGCTGTGCAGATAATGGAGAAAGGTCGTAAATTGTATCCCTTCTGGCATCGTGGCCAACTCTGTTATGCTAGTGTAAACCCTGGTGCACCAGGAGCTCAGAATAGCAGCAAATAAAATCCGCTCATACGTCAGCGTCAGATAAGGCTTGTCAACCAGTTCTTCCAAAGTCTTCCTAAATTATAAAGCTCCAAAGTACAGGTCAAAAGAGAGGAGGTCTGGGAAGAGCGAGCCATACAATGGGCACCACCAGTGAAAAGGCCCTGCTCCGTGTAGCTCCTGCCCTGTCATTTGATAGGGTGCCCACTTGCCCTCCTTCTTGACATGGAATGCTCTCTATTGGAGTCTCCAGGTCCAATATAAAGACCATAAGAAGGGAGAGCAGGGACCTTGAAGTTCCCAACAGCTGTTAAGCAAGCATGCATGCAAGCAAGCAAGCACACAGGTCACCTTTGTAACAGGACCCCTGTGCCTTGGCCAGGCCTGCACCCAATCTTGTTTTTGTTCAATCTTGTTTGTTCTCAGTAACCAAAATTATATTATCAACATATACAAGCAGAAAAGTTGTTTTCCTTCATTTGCAAGGAATCGTACAAAACAAAGTGGCACTAATAAAGAAAAGTTCCAGGATGGCAACAGAAAGCAAACTAAAAATGCTTTTGCAGTTCATCAGATCTATCCGGCAATATCAAGTTATAGGAAAACTGATGCTATTAACAGTAATCCTTCTAGTTGGTTAATTGATCTGGCAACTTCCATGCACATGACATCTGATGCTAATTCCCCCGCCCCAAGAGTTAAATGATAACTCATCAGAGGCAGCTGCAGCGGCAAATGGCAACAAAATATCTGTGAAAGGAAGAGGAGCAGGTTTGCTCAGGTGTGTTGCAGGTAGAAATACTGTTTGTAATGAAGTGAGAGCAGTAGTTGCTTGAATTAACAAATAAGAAAGTTTTGAGAAGTTACATGCTAGATTTAAGTTGATTTAAAATTAAAATTGAAGGGGATTATAAGAAAAACCCTGGGGCCTAATCTGAATAATTCATTCAGGTGAGGGTCATATGCCTTGTCAATCCCAGCAGGTATATAACCGGAAGACCCAGCCTGGTGCTTTGGCTCTCATAGAACAGTAGTAGCCTGCGGCCTGCCCAGCTTCTAGTTCTTATGCATTTTTGTCATTTAAGTTTCAGTTGATAGCCGTGATTGCTCTCTGTACAGTTTTCAAAAGAGGCTGCCTGAACAGTTTTATATTTAATATTGTACCATTGTGAGGTCTAAGTCAAGGTGACTGGAAGGGATCATAAAGGAACCAAGATGCTACAGAAGTCTTTTCAGACTCAATAAGCCATGAGGACATTTACATAAAAGCCATCTCACTTACTGGTACCTCTCTGATCCCCAAACTATTATTTTACTTATTTCATAAAATTTAAACACAGTTTGATTGTAAAAACCCCCACAAAAACAAACACACACAAACCCTCTCAAAGCAGTTTACGGAAAGATAAAACAATAAAATCAATGAAAATTTGAAACCATATTTTAAAATGTACAAAATTTACAATACTTTTGCTACACACCCCCCCGCCATTTCCTGTCCTGCCATTAAGTATGTCTCTTGAATCTCTTCCTTGGTCATCATTTCATTGAAACTGCTCTTACAAAATGCCTAGAGATTTTCTTCTAGAAAAACGTTAAACATTATACTAGACTCTTAATTTATAGAATAGATCTGTTACATATTATAGGTGGTGTTATTGACTATTTTCTCATTTGCAAAGTGCTGGGCATCCCTGTTCCAGGAAGCCACTGATCTGTGGCACCACAAACAGTATTTTATCTTGCAGTAGTGGCTGGTGGGGCAGGACTGTGCTGCAGCTTCCCAGTGCTGTGTGTTGCTGCAAGTTACTGAGATGGTGAGGGGGCAAGGGCTTGGTACAGTGCAGCAACAAGAGTATAAGCTTACTCCCTGCTGCATCATGCAGTGTTGGGAGGCCAGGTCAGCAACACAACTCATCCCATGCTGCTCTGCCAGCTGCTACTGTTCTATGATAGCCAAAGCACCATCAGCCATAGGCTCTGTTGGCAAGACGTAATTCCTTTTACTCTTAATGTGATTGCACCTTTGTTTCTGGAATGGAATTAGAAAAGGCATAAGGATGGCATGTTGTGTGGCTGTTCTTGGGCCCAGCCTGAACTCCCAGCATCTCCAGGTAGGACTGTTCCCTGTCAAAAAAAACCAAGAGCCACTGTCAGTTACAATAGACAGTACTGACTGGGGTGGACACAGTACAGTGGTACCTCAGGGTACAGACTCCGCTAACCCAGAAATAGTACCTCGGGTTAAGTACAGTGGTACCTCAGGTTACAGACACTTCAGGTTACATACGCTTCAGGTTACAGACTCCGCTAACCCAGAAATAGTACCTCAGGTTAAGAACTTTGCTTCAGGATGAGAACAGAAATTGTGCAGTGGCGGCGCAGCAGCAGGGGAAGGCCCCATTAGCTAAAGTGGTGCTTCAGGTTAAGAACAGTTTCAGGTTAAGAACAGACCTCCAGAACAAATTAAGTTCTTAACCCGAGGTACCACTGTATGCAGCAGTTTCCTATGTTCCTGTATTGTGGTGGATGCTGTGGAATGGGTGTATTTTTAAAGTCATCAATACAGATGAGGCCTCTCCTCCTCCCAGAGGGGAGGGGTTGTGAGCGGGAGCAGCTTCCCGCAGCGGCAGGCAGGAGTATTTGGCTCCCTGCTCCTGATTGCCTCTGCTGCTGTGGCCAAGCCTTCCAGCCAACCAATAGGGCTGATTCAGTGATGCATATTAGGGGTGTACACTAAGACTAAGATTCAGCTCAGATCTGAATCTGAACTTTTGGGAAGCCGTCCAATCGGTTCCACATCACACTGTGGCCTGATTTGATTTGTATTTTGGGTCCCAAGCAGCTTTGTTAAGAACAAAACTCTGTTCTTGATCATTCACTATTATGGGGAATTTAAAAAAACAGCTAAAACCTTTTTCCCCCTTCTAACTGAAGCAGATGAACTTTGTAGGCAAATCAAACTTCCCTAGGTCGAATAAGCCAAATTATAAGCAAATACATCCTGGGGCTTGGGAGCTAGAAACCTTGATTCATCTAGAAAACAGAAAAGATTTGGGGGAGAAAGGAATTAAATTTTCAGCCATTATCACCCCTGAATGAACTCTACCGAATTCTCAGAAGAATAGCTGCAGTGGTTTTCCTGCAAAGGAGGGTGTTATAGTTTGGGGTGTGTAAAAAATGAGCGCTCATACCTCCTTTTGTGGGTGCCCTTTGTGGGACCGCGCACAGCACCCGGGCTCACCAGTTGGATGGGCTGGCCCACCTCCCTGTGCTAGTCATTGGGGGTTCCCGCCAAACTCCAGTTAACCTATCAGCGCTGAGTGGAGGCGGGGGTTGTGAAAAGGGAGTCACTGAAAGGTTGTTTGTGAACTCCCTTGCGTTGTGGGTATATGGAGTGGGCTGCCTGCATACACAAGAGTCTTGCAGTGTACCCTCCCATATCCCATTCACCCTGAGGAGCCCCAGTTCCCTGGCTGGGGCCTGAGAGGGATACATGCCCAATGCCTAAGCCAAGATCTTCCTACATCTGAAAGGTTTAATAAAGTTGTGGCCATTTTTAAATTCCATAACAAATTGTCACAAGTCATTATTCCTTCTGGTGGTCCCTCGGGGCTGGGGGGGTCTCCGCCTGGGCACGCAAAAGGAACCACTTAATCTCACTTAGTGTTTTGTGGGAAATTGGTTTGGAAATTGCAGACATGAGGGACGTGCCCCTGGGTAACAAACCTGCTAAACTACCGACAAATAGGTCCAGCAGTGTTGTGCTATGCACCCTTAACATTTGTTGTTCCAAATAAATCTTGCATGTACATATTTATTGAAATTTGTATTCATTTTTCTTGTTGATGTTAATATCCTGTTGCTATCGATTCGTTTTGTTTGTATATTTCTTACAATGATGAATGCAAGTACTATTATTTTCCTTTACCAAATCATAAAATTGATAAATAGCATTAGATGGAGCCTGAAATCATGCTTGCTGACAGCTATATAATGGCTGCCCTGGAAATAATGGTGGTCTGTACTGTACTTGTGGTGTTATTCGTATTTCTGCAGTAAATTTACAGTTTTCCCAGATGTTTGGCATGCTGACATCATTAGTTTGGTGCTCTGATTCAAATTCAAGTTGACAGCCACAGGGGTCACACAAGTTTATGCAGACAATATTATTATTAAGATAAACACTTTTTTATAATAGTTTGTGATCTATTTTAAATTCTTATGTGGCTTTTATGGTGTATGTATAATTGATGTACACTGTTCTGGTGTGTGTGTGTGTGTGTGTGAGAGAGAGAGAGAGAGAGAGAGAGAGAGAGAAATCGTGGTATACAAGTATTTTTTATAAAATAAATAAATATTAACTTCCAAAGGTTAACAATTGAAGACAATAACTCCTGGCATGCAACCAATTTTAGTTTACTTTATGTAGTTCTTTATTCTAGCTTTTAACCTTCCCTCTACTTAGAGCCTAAGTAGGCAAAAACCCTTGCTTTTCATTTGCAAGATAAAATTGCTGCAATCTTATGCAAAGTTGCCTGGGAGAATGCCCCACTGAACACAATAGGACTTACTTCTTAGTAAACATGTAAACAATTGTGCTGTAAGAATATATAAAGCACATTGCAATGCCCAGTACTATTGGAAAGTATATTAGCATTTATTTATTCATTGCATTTGTAGTCTTTTCTTCCTTCCAAAGGAACCCAGGCATATCCAAACATGCTTCCTTGAATGCTTATGAGCAGGTTCATAGAACTGTCGAGTTGGAAGAGACCACAGAGATCATCTAGTCCAACCCCCTGCAATGAAGGAGTCTTCTGCTCAATGTGGGGCTTGAACCCATGACCCAGAGATTGAGAGTCTCATGCTCTCCCAACTGAGCAGTCCCAGCATCAGGGTGAGCAGAGTCTGGTTTCCAGACCACTTTATGCAGGGTTCAGCTCACCCTGATCCATAGAATATTGTCAACACCTAGCCATTTTCCTGCCCAATGTGAAGAAATTTATGTTAGGGGCAGAGATGGATGTATCTTTTGAGAGTGGACCCAAATCCATATCTGCCCCAAAGGGTGAACGTAACCCTGCATAAAGCAGTCTGAAAACCAGACTGTGTTCTCTCTAATCCTGCTCAAGGAATGCTCAAGGAGCATTCAAGGAAGCATAGTTCGATATGCCTGCAAAAACTCCCTCCACAAAAGTTCACCAGGTACTACACTACTGAGCACAAGGAAGCAGTAAGAGAAGTTAAAATTGCCTTTTTTCCCACAGGCGACCATATCTATTAGTCCCAGAATCCATAGCACCAAAAGATATTCCACTAGAGCCTCCAATCATTGCTACCTCCTCCTCCTCCTCCTCTTCTATCCAAAAGGGAGTTTCTTCACTTTAACTTCTCTTACTGCTTCTCTGTAAACAAGGGTATATTTTATCACCTGCCCTAGGACTTTGGGAAAAGGTAGTGGCAGGAAGATATCTTGATAAACAATCATTCTCTTCTCTTTTCCCATGATTTTTTTTTTAATGCAAACTGTTTTGGTGAGTTAGTATGATGAGCTCTTATCTATATTCAGTGAGACATTATTTACACTTTTTAAAAGAGATGCTAAGGTACATTCTTTTCCCATTCTTAATTATTTTCAAAAGTCCTTAAGGCATTGTGTTTGGTCCTTCGTTGCATGCACTGATAAGCATCAGACCAAGACTGTGGTCCAATGTATGTTCATGGGAGAGGCAAATCCCATTGAAATTAATGAGACTCACCTCCAGGTAAGCAGGTCTAGGACTAGACTACAAAGCAGTGAATGCCCCATTTGGAAAGAGTACAAGCCAAAAGATTAGGAAGGAACGTTTATCTATGAAACATTTTAATGAACCCCTTAATAGACTGTGGATTAAAGCAATACAAATCTTTTAGATAACTCTTGTTCTTACCCTTCAGTATTCCTGCCAGATCAATCTGTGAGTGGTACCTTTATCACACTCCTGCATCATAGTTTTGCAGTCAACACAATTCTGTGTCTGATGTCAGTACAATGTTATCACAAGGTCAGCAGACTAAAGTTCAGAACTCTTTCCCTCTCCCCTCTCTCTGCCAATCACTTGCCAAAGGTGATGTAATTACAAGCTGATCAGGAAAGGGAACACACCATCTACAACACGCACACACAATGTTCAGCCATATCTGATTACTCATAAGTAAGTCTTACCAAGCTAATATAGCCTTATTTAGGCATTCTACTCCAGAGTCAAATCAACCCATGATGGCAGGGTGAATACAAGTGTATTAGATCTGCACCTGCTTGTCCTCCATGATTTCAAAAGATAACTTCTGCAGTGAAGAAGCTTTTGTACCTGTGTAGGCACCATGCGTGGGCAACCTACAACCCTGGAAATCAGGCCTCTACAGTGGATGGAGAGCCTACATCAGTAGAAAAGGCTTCCTACTGCAGAACATATCCCTTCTACTCCCTGATGGAGCTAGTGTCTCGGCCACACTGTCTTCTCTCAGGTGATGATTGTATGATGAAATAGAACACCTGATTACAGTTTGAGATTTATGTGTCAAGTAAGAGTACCTGAGACTGCAGCCTGAACAGGCAGATATTGGGAGGCCAGGAAAAAAGAAGGCTTCTATATCTTTAGGTGGGGGGAATGTGGGCTGGCATTTGGATGTCATTAATGTCGGCTGAATACTTCAAGAAACTTGAGTGCTTAAGAAGCACTGATCCCACAATAAACATGCGCCTGGAAGTACCTTGATAGCTTCCTCCTCGGGAAGCTTCCACTCTATCCTGGTTCCCTCCATGAATGGAAGGAGCCCTTAAGTTTGTAGAGGGACAAGTCAACTTTTAGCAACAGGGTAAAAAAAAAGCAAAGGATTAGATATGCCACATGGGAAGAATTACACAAACATAAATCTAACCTGCAAGCACAGCTACCTAATGTGTTCAGTCTTCATATGTGTACGGGCACTTTATTAGGACATATGTTGAAACCACAATGAGCCACTTGCTGACCACACACCACGATCCAATGAAAATACATTTTTTGCACTGTATTCATTAGTGCTAATTTGTATAGGTTTAAATTATTAAACATTAGTTTATACTTCACACACACACAGAAGGGTGGAGTTTAGATGGTCCAACTGTGAGGTGATCCTGCAATTCAGGACATGTTCCCCAAATCCTGTTTAATAATGAACTAGGTTGATAAAATGGCTTTTATCAAACACATAAACTAAGGAATTGTTTGCCTGGCTTAAATAACCTATGAAAAGGCAGCGTTTAATGATAAGATTAGTTAGTAGAAGGAAAATCATTCCAATTGCTTTTGTTGATTTAATACAAAGCTCCAGCTAAACAGACTGTTTTGCTTGCTGTGTTACGCAGCCTGATCCTGTACATCTTTCCTCAAAGTAAATCCCACTGAATTAACTAAAACCTACTCCCAAGTAAATGTGCAGGGAAATGCAATCATAGGTTCAAATGTGTGTTTTATTCATTACTTTATTCACTCAACTTGTTCAGATACCCAGCAGGAAATTCACTCTGTACCAAAGGAGAAAAATATTAAAACACAAAAACACAAAAATCCAAGCAGAAATTGAACAATTAATAAGGAAGCTAAAACCACAACAAGCAGGAGAGATAGCTTTAAAATGCTAAGGAATAAAAACAAATATAAAGGCTGCAAAAACAGAGGACTTTAAAACATTTAAAAGTCGCAGGTTCTAAAAGCTTGAGAGAACAAAAAGGGTTTTGTCTGGTGCCAAAGACACTAAACTCTTCAACACAATGAGACTTGGAAGAAAACATCAATTTGGATTACATCTGCTAATGTGACCTTTTGGGTGGGGGTCTTTCGATCCTACCCCTGGGAGTAATTCTGATTAAACTCAGTGGGGCTTACTTCTGAGTAACCATTGTCAGTCTGCCTGTTTTTAGCATTTAACTACCGGTAACCATTTCTAAAAGTTTGCTCAAAGTTACAAGTAGAAATGAAGCATCAAAAAGGATGGCCAGTATCTAAAGCATCGTGTGGCTAGTTTTGGGAGCCTGAGGGCGGTGCAGTGATGTGGTAACATCCTCACACTGCCCTGCCAGCACTCCCCAGAAAAATGTGCCCAGGGCCATCACCCCGGAAACATTCCCATGCTATGTCCCTGCTTTCTACTCTTTCTGAAACAGTGAAATTGTACACCAGACTCCACTTGTCAGATAGATATATTTATAAGAAGTCATATTTCCAAAGTCTGAGGCTAACAGTTAAAAATTCTACTCTAAGATCTGGTTCACATGTGCACATATCTCCACATTACTCAACATTTCAGGGCCTGCAGCTGGTGAATGAACTGATGCCAATGAAAAGCACTGCAAAAGTTCTACCTGTAGCTTTTGATATATTACAGTGGTACCTCGGGTTACAGACACTTCAGGTTACATACGCTTCAGGTTACAGACTCCGCTAACCCAGAAATATTACCTCGGGTTAAGAAGTTTGCTTCAGGATGAGAACAGAAATCGTGCTCTGGCGTTGTGGTGGCAGCGGGAGGCCCCATTTGCTAAAGTGGTGCTTCAGGTTAAGAACAGTTTCAGGTCAAGAACGGACCTCCGGAACGAATTAAGTACTTAACCCGCGGTACCACTGTATAGCTCATTCATATAAGTTGCCACTTGATCCCATGCTTGTAAAGTTTGAATGGAGATGTATGAAGCAGGCCTTTGGCTTTGGGTGGCAAATGGTTACTTGTTTGTGCTGCTGGATTGCATCTATATGGTGCTTATCGGTGGCATTTTATATCTTAGCCCTGCTTCAGAGACAAGAAGCCTTATAAATGTTGTTAGATTCCTGAGCCCATCACCCCTGACCATGGGCCATGCTGGCTGGGACTGATGGCAGCTGGAATCCAACAACATCTGGAGAACCATAGGTTCACCATCCCTGCTCTACACAAAGTGTTGCATCAATGAAAAAATAGAGAGAATATTTCTCTTCCTGCCTCCATCCTTTGTCTGTCGTCTCTGTGTAAGTTTGTGAGCAGTTCCTGACCTCTCAGGGCAAACACTTCCTGTAATGCATTAGCTCACAAAGGAAGGAAATAATTTCCACTTTTGTTGCTCAAATGTATTCAGCCAGGACACAAAAACGAAACACTTCAATGCATTCTTAGACTCCTTAGGTATATTAAAGGACTTACGTATGTCAGGAAACAGATACACAGCTTCCTCTCTCCTATTAACACTCAGAATCCAATTTCCCACTTGGCTGATCATTTTGGTTAACGTTTGCCCAACCTGAGAGACAATAGTAAAATAATGATTGATGCAGAAGGTGCAGAGGATGTGCTAGAATGTGCACAGACTTGACAACCTTCACACTCTCCAGTCTTCTTCCCTCAACTTTTCTGAACATGATTTTTATTTTTATTTTTAAAATGGCTCTCTCATACAATGAAGTACTACCTTCCCAATTGCACTTCAGGGGAGAGGGTGATGCTGTGTGATGCCGACATGTTCTCAGATATTCTTTCATCATGTGCGGACTTTTGAGTGGACTCAACACTCGACTTTACAGAAAACATGAAAGATATGAGTCACTTTTTGGGGTTGAAAAAGTGTTATCGCAGTTGAACAGTTGAGGCCTTGGGATGAGATGAGACTAAATTTATGTAGCACAC